CTTTATATCCACTATCACATTAATTAGCTTCCCTATCCCTTGATTATAGATATCTACATATTAATTCAAAACATATTACTGGTATATATGCCAAAATATGCAGATATGTCTTTCCTACAACTGGTGTTTATACACTGAATATTTTTTAATTTTCCAAAAATGTTTAATATTTGCCCTCAACTTCAGGGCTCATACAACCATAGGAAAATCATGCTGATTCACTAGTACAAAGCAAGGATTCACTGCAGTTGTACCAATGTTACTTTTCCTAATATGGGTTCAACTACTCAACTACAATCGTGATTTAATGCACCCTAAGCAGCTTGTGGGATGGAGATTAGAGCACTGGCTGCAGTGGCAGCAAGGGGCAGGGGGGTGCAAAAAATAGAGCAGTGTGGGGTGGGGGGCAGCAAAAAGAGCAGCCCCGGGGCTGGTGCCAGTGTCTGGGTTTTCCCCTGGGGCTGCACAGGGGAAGTGGACAGAAGTTCCATGCATCGGTTTGACCTAAACTGAATGAATCTGATACTACATAGATCTAGGTTTATCTTAAACCGGGTCCTGCAGTTTTTAGCCTGGTTTGTGTGTGTATCATCTGCGAGGCTTGGGGCGTGGTAAAGGGGTGGTTGGAGCTATGCATACAGCCCATAAGGCTGAGAGACTCGGGAACCATCCACAGTGAAGCAGAACATCAAAGTGGGGTAGAAACAACAGGGTTAATAGGATCTAGTCTGACCATGTCCAAAACTAAAGCTCAAGGGCAGCCTCCCTATATTTATTATACCAACAAGACGTGGCAGGTAAGAACAAGGGTGCTTGTAGGGCGAAGGACTGGCAAGGTTAAGAACCTGGGGGGGTAACACGGCCACCCCTAGGTACCCCACCCTGTTACAGTGTGCATGGAACTTCTGTACAGTTACAGGTTTAGACTGATTGCTGTTCACAGAGAGCAGGTCTGTAAGCACAAGGTGTAAGGTCAACACTGAGACAAGATAAGTTTAAATCAGGTGGCCATTTTGAACCTGATTTAATCTCCTGAATCTGTGTACTTAGCCCAGGTGTTTGCACACCTCATAGTGCAAATATTAAATGGCACTCTTAAAAGGCTTCCATGGCCCCCAGGCTAGGGCAACCTGTTGAAAAATACTGATTTAGACTGTGGCATACAAGGTTATTCAGGTAGATGCGATATCTTTTATTAGATTAATTGAAAAGTTGGAAAAATTGTTCTTTGCAAGCTTTTGGGCACAGGCACCCTTTTTCAGGGATAGGGAGAGTCTGCTGGTGCTCTTTCTAGGATTGAATAGAAGCTTAAGCCAATATGCAAAATGCAGGTCTGTGAAAATGCAAATGTGGAGCAGGGAAGATCAGAGATAGGAATTAATGGGTAAGATAAAGGTAGGTGGAGAGGAAATACAAAAGAGGGAAATGTTGGCAGGTGATAAAATATGACTGGTGACATATAGAGAGGTCACCTGGGTTTATCAGATGGCAAACAGGTTATACTGTGCCGTAAATCCAATATCTATATTTAGTCCATGTTTATTTGTATTCAGTAGATATATGATGTGTACTTTGTAGTCTCATCTATGAAAGCTATTTTATTAATTCCCTTTGAGGATTAGAACTGAGAAATTGGAGACAGTGGTTGCCTTGTGAGAAATGTGCCCCGACAGGTAATTGGGTATTTTTGTCTTTGATAAATTTTTGGTGTGTGTTCATTCTGGTACACCGTTGTTGTTTGTGTTTGGTTTCTCCTACATAGTTTCCATCAGGGCATTCAGTGCACTGGATGAGATATATTTCTGGAGGTGCAGGTGTAAGATCCAGGAATGGTGATTTAGACTGTGGCTGCTTTGGGCCAGGGACTAAGTACAACAGAGCTCCAATGTCCATCAAGGTTTCTAAATGCTTGTGTAACACAAACAGACACTAATAATAATGTGAATGTGTATGTATAATGCCATGGTCTATATATATGCACACAACATAGGGGCAACTATACATTACCTGCCAAAATATGTTTTATCCACTCTTTCATGTGAAAAGTGTTAAATGAATATTGTATTCATTATATGAAATACAGTCCATGACAAATAGTACTAGATACAATTCACATGTCAATGTCTATCTCCTGTTTTTACCAGACACTGATAGGGGTTGCTTCATCTCTATGTTGACAGAAATATGCTGCATTAATACATTTCCGAGGGGGGGGAATCTACATTTCAGGCCAAATTCCATTCTTGATTCTGATGTAAATGTAAGGGAGGAATGCCACTGAGTTCAGATAGTTTCCTCTGGACTGACACTGATAGAACTGAGAACAAACTGTGCCAAACAGAGTAGTTTCTAGTCATATTCAAGTAGTATACATTCACACTGTATAGATAAGGACACCTCCTGACCAAGACAGGTGACATACACAAGGAGTACCCAGGTACGTAACAGGGGTCCAGATAGTCTTGAAAATCGGGGGGTGGCACACGCAGCAATCCAAGGCCTTAAGTGCCTCTATACAAATACTCATAGTATGGGGAATAAGCAGGAGGAACTCACCCTCCGAATAGCCTGTTCAAACCCAGACATAGTAGGGCTCACAGAAACCTGGTGGGATTCATCCCACAACTGGGCAGTAAACATTAGGGGCTATAGGCTTTATAGGCGAGATAGAACAGGAAGGAAAGGCGGGGGGTGTGGCGCTCTACGTCAAAGAGCAATACACATCCTCTACCAGCAGGATGGGGTCAGAGGAGGGGCGGGCTGCAGTGCTCTGGGTCAGGATACAGGGGGGTCGTGGGAAAGGGACTTAATGGTGGGGGTCAACTACAGACCTCCCAACCAAGGAGAAGAGCTAGAACACGAATTCTCGGGTCAGTTTGCAGAGGCACTTAAGGCAAGGGATGTAGTTGTCATGGGTGATCTAAATTACCCGGACATCTGCTGGGAGGAGCAGTCAGCCAGGTCGGACTGCTCACGGAGGTTCCTGGTCAAGATATAGGACCTCCACTTAACCCAGGAGGTGCACAGTCCTACCAGGAGGAATGCCCTGCTGGACCTGGTCCTGGCCACAGCGACGACCTGGTAAGAGGGCTCCAGGTCCTCGACCATCTGGGCAATAGCGATCATCGCTTGCTGGAATTCACCATCCAGCGCAGGGTGCCAAGGGCCTGCAGCAAAGCAGTAGTCCTAGACTTTAAAAGGGCCAACTTCGATGAGTTGAGGGGATTAGTGGGAGAGGCGCTGGGGTCCTCAAGAGTAGGGGAACTCAGTGCCCAAGATGAGTGGTCGTTCCTTAAGGAGACGATACTCAGAGCCCAAGGGGTGACAATCCCAACAAAAAGCAAGGGGGGCAAGAGTGCCCAAAAGCCTCCCTGGCTCACCAAGGGCATTTGTGAATGCCTGATTGCCAAAAAAGAGGCGTATACCCGGTGGAAGGGAGGGGCTATCACCAAATAGGAGTATAACTCCACCACTTGGGTCTGTAGGGGGGCTGTTAGAAAAGCTAAGGCAGATACGGAGCTAGGGCTAGCGTCAAGGATCAAAGATAATAAAAAGTCCTTTTTTAAATATACAGGGAGAATGAAGAAGGCACCAGTTAATGTGGGGCCCCTGCAGGATATGCTGGGCAATCTGGTGGTTGCACCAGAGGAGAAAGCAGACCTCTTTAACAAATTCTT